GAAAAGGACAGCCCCCAAAAGTGTTCCGAGTCCTCCTGCAATCATCACAGAAAACAATTGTCACGTCCATCTATGGTTTTGAAAAAGATGACACATTTTCCCTATGCCATCCCCCTTGTCATAAATGTCACTTTGTGAACCACGTGGAGCCCCGTGAAAGTCCATGTTTTATTTCCTCTTTATCGTATGACACGGTGCGCTCACCGTCTCTGAATGAGGTAGTCTTCCAGTATGTCCAAGCAGCGCACCATCTGGGAAAAGATAAGCACCCTGTGGCCACCAGCCTTCAGTTTTGGCAGCAGCTTGTCAATCAGCACGAGCTTGCCAGCAGCCTGGATCATTGCCTGGAGCTGAAAATCTGGAGACTCGGCATTGTGTGTTTCTCTAAACTCTTCCAAAATTTTCTCTTCAGCACCTGCAGAGATTGGACAGCACAATGTGAATACTGTAAAAGGTTTTTATTACTAAAAACAATGAGCGTGCTTTCTCCCCCACTGCAAGCCAGAGGAACCGGAACACCACACTCACGTCTGCGAACAAGGCCTCGTCCACTTACTGAAAGTTAAGTCTACGCAAAACCATAAAAGTAAAAGGGGGCCAAAGTTTTAAGCACAACACATTTAGGCAGTTAGGGGAAAAACCACATTTTCCAACAAACAAATGTTTGCTATCTGTAGAAAGTGAGTTTCAACAACAGACTGTCAAGCCAGAAGTGGCAGAAACAAGCCAAGGGCCAGATACCTACAGAACATTTGGAACCTAAATTGTTAAAGAAACGAAGAACTGTTTGCTCACTGAATACAAACACAAACAACCAAAATCTGTTCTGAAACTAAGAAACAAGGAACAGAATGCTGACCACGAGGGTGTAAGGGCACTCATTTGGGTATGTAATTGCATATTAATATGACCAAAAGGACTGAAACAAAGCGGGATTCATCTTTCAGAGTAATTTTTAGGGATTTTTTTTGTGGGGACCTAGGCATGTATCTTCTATTGTCATCTCTAATCTGCCTCGACATTCATTTCCATCTGACAGTTTCCTAAAATACGCAAATTCTATCTTAACCCAAAGCTTTAAAAAAAAAAAAAAAATCCTCTCAGTGTTTCACAGAAGACTTCCATGTGCAATCCTCTTTTTCTCACAGCCCATGTGTACTTCTGTGTGTTCAGAGACTGGGAACATCAGAGAAAAGCCTCAAGTGAATGACACCTTCCTGGGAGAAAAGCCCTGACCACTTCCGCCCTGACCCAGAACCTACGTTAATTCAGGAAGCAGTAGGCTAAGCTTCCTTCAACTGCTGAGGTGGCTTAACTAGAATTAGGCAGCAACGGGCTGGCCTCTCCCACTCGCGGGGTAATCAGCACAGAGCTGCTAATCTCACCTCCTCTCCCTGACGTCACTTATTCTTTAGAAAACACAAACAAATCCATCTACTGGGATTGTTTCCCAGCCTTAAACTGTGCCAGAACTTTTAAATTATTTTTCCTAGCATTGGCTTTAACCTTGTGAACTACCTATACACACAATGTGGACACCTAAACCACAAAACGGTTTTCAAGGTCTGGTCCAGGTCAGACAGGCCACCACAACCACGCAGACAGAGCTCCTGCACCAAGCAGAACAGGTAACCAAAGCACAATCTGCTTCTCATTTTAAGGTCACTTGTGAAAATTAACTTATGACACGGTCATATGTAGAAATACAGCTTGTTAATTATTAACCCACAAAGAATCTTCCTGAAAACAGATTAAAGTCACTTAACACTGTCACCAAGACTCAGGCCTTCCACAAGGCACACTGCTACTTCTCAGGACAGGCTGGCAGAAAACATCACCTAGGTGAGGACTGCTATTCCCTCACTCCCTTCTCCACGTTAATAAAAGGTGAATATTTCAAATTTTCCTTTAAGTTGAAAAAAAAGAAAAAGAAAAAAGGAAAGATTTTATAGAAAAGGTAAAGGATAAAATGCTATTGATTAAGAGCACTAGCAAGAATGTTCTTAATAAAATGCTTTATTTTTCAAAGCATGGAATTTAGAAATTCAGGTTCTAGATTTAAGACAAAAAGGTTATTAAGAGATAAAGAATATAAATTTAAATCAGTGTATTTAATTAGGCACTTTTTTAAAGTTTGTTCTTGTACAATATAATGTAAGCTCTTTGCAATTCAGCAACAATTTTTGCTTTTGTGATGTTCAGCTATTTATCCATATTAAGATTATACTCCACAATTAAAATGAAATATAGTATTTTTGTAGTTTAAAACAATAAGCTGATAGTCAATGGGTATTTTTTTAAATGAAATAATCATTTTAACAAAATAAAAACCAGACATGTTTGAACTATTTTAATAAAAAATTTGAGAAATTAATTCAAATTAAATTTAAATTTAATTTTTAAGTTTACTTTTAATAAATTTATTACATTTTTTTCAGTGATGAGAAAAATAACTTTTGTGCCTTTTCAATACTACCAATAATTTCTCATCTTCTAAAGGACAGTGAAAAAGATAAAAGCATATGCTTAACTGACAACAGAAGCTACTACTGAATTAATTGATTTAGCTCTGTGATATGTATTTAGGTTCTTAAAGTGACAGTTTACACTAGTAATACTTTACTTAAAAATATTATCAGCAAACATATTTCCTACATGATTCACTTAGTACTGTATTTATTGTGACCAGACTGAAGGCTGGTTGGTAGGGGGAGGAAGGCAATTTCTACCTTCTCATGTTATAGCCAAATTTTCGAGTTTATTAATTCAAGATTTACCTTGATGTTACATTTGTAAATATTAGTCAGAAAATTTACTGGAAATGGGTTATAATAACCCAAAATGCTTTCTTGGCTTTGTCCTAAATTAAAGTATTGCTTTTACTATATTAAAAAGTGTGTGTGTACGTGTGTGTGCAAGCACATGTGCGCACGCATGCATGTATCACAGACAACCTGAAATAAGTGTGCAATCGCTTAGAGCTTGGAAATCTTTTCAGTGAAACAGGTTGTCACTCTAAGGACAGTGACTGCAATGGTATCCAGCTATATTAGCCACGAACAAATTAGAAAATACTTTGTTCTTAAAGATTATCAGAAAAAAATCCAGTTACTATTTTCTCTTTGAAATTCATTCCATCACGTAAGCTTCATTTTTGTTCTCTTGTTGCCTACTACATTCTCCCCACCCCCAACAATGATGACAAGACTTGGTCAATCCCTAATCATCGGGGGTATTTACCAAGTTTTCAACATTCTTCTTACCCTCACACCGGGGAACCTAAAATCAGATACTTCATTCTAATAAAGTTTGGGGCAATAACAGTAACTCCATTTATGTTACCCAGTCACCTGCTCAATTTTTAGCAAGAAAAACAACAACTTCTAACACTTAGTGGGTACACTCTGTGCCGGACACTGTCCCAAGCACGTTACTAGAAATATTAACTCCCATTAAAAATATTCGCGATTTATATACAGTTTGTGTTCTACCATTATGTCTAGATTTTTTTCTTCTGCTGTGCTTCTGTTACCATTCTCAGCTTATGTATCTAGTTGCTTCTTTTACTCACAACAGAAATGCTGTGCTTGTTGAGCTGAACTTTGTCTTGATCAGGGCTACTTTATTCTGTCACACCAGTACAAATTTTAATTTCCAAAAGTAAAGGCTTCCCTTGTCACTGCCCAATAACGTATGTTGAGCTGGCACTGCATTATTACACCTTATGACCTTGGACAGCATGGGCCCTGGAACCCACCTCTGAGAAACACGAGGCCTATGGAAGTCACCTGGGCAGTCGCATGCTGACGTGTGTGCGTGTGCGCAAGTCTATTTTTTTTTTTTTTTTTTACTACAATTTCCCAACATAAAGGCATATTTTAAAGGACACCTGCTTAGCAGATACTTTATAACCTGTTTTAAGGATAGAAAAGCTGACTGCAAGGTGTGAGAAATTAGAACAACTGCTGCAGACGCCAAGCCTCAGGGAGTCCCACGAGGCTCCTGGAGAACAAGTAAGCTACAGGCTGACCCTGGAGAGCAATCAGCCAAAAAAGAAAGATCCACCAGCTGGGTTTTGGGGAAAAAATGCTGCTATGCTCAGTGCGTGTAATTAACACATAACCAAACAAGGTGAGCTTGATGAAACTGGGGCGCCCACAATCATGGCTCCCTGCCCTCCCACATGTATCCCGCTGGCAGCACACGTCCCTTCTTTTCTCTTCCTTTGGAGGCCACTATTATTTATTTTTGCCAGATATTAAATGAATCGGATTTCTGATCATTTCTTGCACAGAAGCTAGCAAAGGTTCTCCACCACCTACAGAGGAAAGTCACGATTCCTAACTGGCACTGAAGGCCTTCCACAGTAGGGCCCAGCATGTCTGAGGCTTCTTTTTCTACTATTTTTTACATGTACTGTATACTGGGCAAGTTCCTCTTTGCTTTCCTGCCTCGCTTTCTCTGCTCTTATTACTTCAGCCTAAATGCCAGTTCTTTTCTAACCTGCCTAGCAAAATCCTTACTGCCTCTGAAGGCTCATCTCAAACACCACCTCTTTTTTTTTTAAATTGTATTGAGTATACATATAACAAAGATGTCCTGGTGGCGCAGTGGTTAAGTGCTCAGCTGCTAACTGAAAGGTTGGAGGTTCAAACCCACCAGCAGCTCCGCTGAAGAAAAGGCCTGTAAAGATGACAGCCTAGGAAACCCTATGGGACAGTTTTACTCTGTCCCTACAGGGTCATTAGGAGTCAGAGTCGACTTAACGGCATACAACAACAATCATATAACAAAAATTTTGCCATTTCAATATTTTTATATGTACAATTGAGTGATATTAATTACACTCATTATGTATAACCATCACCACAATCCATTCCCAAACTTTGCCATCACCCCTAACAGAAGCTCCATGCTCCCTAAGCTTTGACTTCCTCTTTTCCCTTCCCTCCTACCCCTGGTAACAACTAACAGACTTTTTAAAGGCCTTCCTAATCTCAAGTCCCTCGACTAACGGTAGGCTTGCTGAGGGGAAGCTCCCTTCTTACTCACCTTTGAATTCTCAAGAGTGTCCTACACCTAAGAGTCACAGAATACCAGAGCCAACTGAAAGGTAACTAACAACAACAGTCTATTCCCACAATCTATTCCCTTAGTGGTTTGGGGTAATATTTACTTGGAAATACAGAGGAGATTACTACCCCTATCAGTTATATAACACTATAAATTTAGTTAAGAAAGCAGGAAGACTACCAACTAATCATCAGGAAGAGGGACAAATTATCAAAGCTTTAGGATAATCTCTCATTCGCAAGAAATAGGTATTAAAGGACCTTAGCTAGGGCTGAGAGAAATTCTAGGACATTTTCTCCTCTCAAAGGCTTGAGACAACTGCTTTCCCACACCAAAGTTCCTTCCCACACCAAAGTTCCTTCCCACACCAAAGTTCCTCTTTAACTCCTCTGATTTCACACACACACCCCCAAACACGCATGTGTGCACACACACGAAAGCCTCGACCAGGGGCTGGCACTTCTGATAATTTACATCCCTGGAGTATTAAAACCTCTTTTGAAGGGGGTGGGACATACGGAAGTAGGAGAAAGGCAGGGTGAGATCTAGCTACAGGGGTCAACTGGGGCAATGGTCATTAGCTTGTCTTCATTAGCTTTTTGGCAACCACAGAAGGAGGCATCATCAAGAACAGGAAGCTGGTGATGCCAGTTATGACTACAAACCATAGGGAGAAAGGCTTTCTGGTGTTTTGACAGTTGCTTAAACAGTGTGAGGAGGCAGGCAGGCTTACCATTAATAAGGTATGGGTGATTGCAGCACTTTCGTAACTCCATCATAGTGTTTAAAAGGTTGGGTACGTTAGCTTGACCACCACCTTTGGAAAGAAATGTAAAATTCTTCTCAAGGATGGCTCGGTAATATTTCTTCTGAATGTTTGTTAGCTCAACTTCAATAATAGTCTCTTCTTTAGGGGCCAAGTTCTTTTCTACATCTTCCTTGAGACGTCTCAACATCATTGGCTTTAGAATAGCCTGAAGTTTTTGCACCTAAAAAAGGACCTTAAGTAAATACTGATATCACAGTTTACTTGCATATTAAAAACATATCCTAACACGAAAATAAGGATTATCTTATTTATTTACCTTTCATTTTAATTTTTCAAAGTCCAGTAAGAGTAAAGAGTATAAAGTGTGAATCTTTCAGATTTCAAAACAGAAGTGCATGAGGATTTCAGATCGACTTTTTCACCTATACAGGGTTTGATTCCTGAACAGCCAGGAGGCTTGTAAATGACTCAATTATACATTCAGCTTTCCGTTGTTTGCCTTAAGCCACAGAGATGGTAAGAGGGAAGATACAACGTCATCGGAGTGCTATGCTTTAGCTCTCTTCCATTCTAGAAAGAGCTAATAGAACAGAAGGGAATTGGCTGGGGGTTGCCTAGTCCCTGCACTGAAGAGCAAGCAGAGATGCCTCACCTGAGTTCTCTTTCTGTTGACTAGCTACTCGCCCACCACATAGTTCTTATTTTAGCAAATCAAAACAAAACAAAAGAGACTTAACTTTGAACTAAGGTAAGATGTTTTAGACAATAAGTTGGAGGAGGGGGCATGTGAAGACCAGGATTTCAGATATATCTCCACATTTATTTCTAATGTAGCACATAAAATCTAACTAATAATCCAAGAAACTCTCACCGTATACCATCAACCACTTTTCACCCAATCTCTCTTAATTCTCAAAGAAATCCTGTACGGTTGTTAGGACTCATGTTTCCAAAATGAAAATACGTAGGCTCACTGTGAGCCACGTGGCCAAGTACACATGGTCCAGAAATGAGACTACAGCCTCGATGCTCTGGGAGGCAAAGAGTTTTACAACATCAGTGGCCTCTGAGACTATCCCCAAAAGTAAACACAGCCAAACCACCAACCTGAAGGGCATAGTATCTCTGAAAATTAACTGAAAGGCTATATAATCTCTCTACCAATCTCAACAGCCCTTCATTAGGACAAACAAACACACAAATCAAACTCCTTCATCATGATGATGTGGAATGTCTAAGAAAAGGATATTGAAAGCTCCACGTACCCTGCTTATGAGGTAGAAGAGAACAGACATATAACCTACATTTTAAAACAGTTAAATATCAATGTTTTACCATTACATGGGTTAATGTTCAGTTACATGAGTAAAATACACAGCGGATGTGATAAATACCTGCTCTTCTGTTTTCAGATCACCAAACTCTTGCATAAAGGTGGTTTCTGAAGGGAAGCGACTTGGTTCCAAGAAATGAAGCAAGCTGAAGAGCTCTTCCACCGTGTTCTGCAGGGGGGTCCCCGTCAGCAGCACTTTGTGTTCCTGCAATAATGCAAGGAAAGCAACTGACCAAATTGTCACAAAAACTGTCTGTAAGCCAAAGCCTCTCTCCAGATATTCATTTTTCTACTTCTACTCAGCAGTGTTAATTTAGCATCCACCCTATGAAAAGTATAGGAATTGGGCACTAAGGTGGAGATACAAGGAAAACCAGGCCCCTGCTTCAGATAAATAAATGTGTACGGTTCTCTCTAGAGATCTGTTGCTGTTGTTAGCTGCCACTGAGTTGGCCCCCAACTCACGGTAACCCCACGCACAAAAGAATAAAACACTGCCCAGTCCTGTGCCATCCCCATGATTGGTTACAAATCAGACCATGTGATCTGTAAGGTTTTCATTGGTCGATTCTTGGAAGTGGACTGCCAGGCCTTTCTTCCTAGTACATCTTAGTCTGGAAGCTCTGTTGAAAACTACTCAGCATCATAGCAGCACACAAGCCTCCACTGACAGAGGGGTGGTGGCTGCACATGAGGGGCACTGGCCAGGAATTGAACCTGGGTCTTCCGCATGGAAGGCAAGAATTCTACCACTGAAACCAAGTGCCCTCTGGAATTCTACAACTCCTTAAATGTGTCTTGCCATTTTGTTTCTTCCTGGGATTATTAGGTCAATATTTTAGTACCATGGTTTCCTAAATCCTCTAAGTCTGGATGCTTTTTCCCCACCAAAGTTAGGTTTTTTCCTAAAGTCCCTTGACTCAGATAAGGCTTATATGCTTCTTTCTGTTCTCTAAATCAACAGTGCTCTCATCTCCCCATCTGCTTCCTGCATGACTCACTTTAGAGACAAAAGACATTCTTTCTACAGCATATGAAAAACTATCCTGTGCTGCAAACATTTCAAACTAGCAAAGAGGTCAGCTTGGTTTTAAATACCACAATCACTTTTTTTTTTAAATAGTCAGATGCTATTTTTAACTTTCTCTCTTTCAACCAAATTAGGTATTTCTTTAAATTAATTCTTCCTGTTTACAAACTCTTCTCCAGCTTTCCTTATGCAGTTGTTCCCTTGCACTTCTATTTCTATATATCCAACACAGAGGAGCTGTTTTGCAATGGTTAGTTTTAACAATAGTGAGTTTATTAACAGGAAGAGTCTTAATACAATCTACTTTATTTGACTATTTGATATACAGTTGACAGCTACAGCTAATAAAGCTACCTTAGAAAGTGATTATACCCTTGAGTAGGTTCAAAAGCAATATTCTGACTATCTTTAACTTCGGATCTTACAAGACTCTGTTGCCAAGCAGAGAGTATATGCTCAGTAAATACCAGATGAACGATGTAACCAAGGACATGCTGATTTTCTTAGTTTCTGCCATGTTTTATTTGTCAAGGAAGCTATCTGAAAGTAAGGTGAAGCAGTTCAATGTACTCTTATTCCTCCATTTCTCCCCCTTTGAATAAAGACATCTCTGATTCAGGAAGATGCCTTCACCTTCAGATCCATCAAATTCACAAAGAGTAAAGAGTTTGTAAATCAATTCAAGACTTCCTAATAGTGTAGCCATACTCATGGACAACATGAGCCACAAACACTGACAGACTCAAGTCCTGAGTAACTTTACCCAAGACTTTTTATTTTTTATATCATAACAGATGTAGGAAAAGAGTGATTTCAGTGGAAGAGGTATACTGATGCTAACAGTCATCTTCCAGTATTTTTATACCCCTTATTACTGTGTTTCATTTAAATCCTGAACCCTTAACCAAACACTTCAGAAAAAGCCTTTTAACTTATTAATTTCAAAATAAACTTATTTGGGAAAAGGAAAGGAACTCCTTTTATTGGGCTGCTTCCCCTCAAGGGCTGTTTAATACTCAGTTATACTTAATGATTGCACACATAGCCCTTTTAAATAGTTGCATATAAGTAGCTGAATACTACCAAGTTCCAAGTGGGTAAAGAGCAAATAATATACAATTAACACACACAGTACCATAAAAACATCATGGAAGGGACTTGGGCTACAGAGCTTTTCACCTACAAGCTTAACTATGGCAGCAGACATGCCCTTAGCTTAAAAACATCACCATTCTTTTTTAGCCCTGACTAGCATAATGTCCCTTTAATTTCATTTCAGCAGACTCTTTAATTTGGGTGGGGCCTCCTGACAATGAAAGATGAGCTAAGACAATCAATGAACAACCCCTGCCCCTCCATAGCAGCCCCTCTTTGTCAAGGAAGGACAAGGAGATGGTCTGCTTTTCCAGAGCTCCTGTGGAGGACTGTGAAGGCCTGTAAGTGACCCACCACAAGGGTTTTCTTTGTGATGGGAGGCTTGAGGCACTTACTCATCTTCCTTCTCTGAAACTGCACTTTGAAGATAATTTTCATCAAGTGCATTTTCTTCCTAACTCCGTTTAATTTCAGTGACAATTTGTTATAACCTGCTCTGTAGTTTGATAGAGCCACTACTCACTATATTCGCTGTGCCTTAGTCTAGGAAAGAGGAATAAAAAATGGAAAGTCATGTCATTTTAAGTAAAGATTTAGAGATCAGGCAATAAGCTGTTCAGAATTAGATATAAAATGAAATTATGTTCTAATTCTGAACAATAATCATGTCCTTCCAATTTGAAAATATCTTTTCTGAGATAAAGATTTTTAATCATCAGAAAAGCACCTGTGCCTACACCAATCACCCATGCCTGTCTAGGACTGTAAGTGAGAGCCTACACCACACACTTGGTGGCTATCTACCCGGGCACCTGAGCTGAATCCATACAGGAGGGCTGGGAGACTCCTGAGCTCACATACCTAGTAACAGATCTAACCACCTGGTGACAGGACATTAGAGCTTCAAAGGCACCAATAATCAAACTAGCTCATACGAGCGGCCCATTTGGGCATATCAAAACAAAACAAGAAGAAAGAACATACTAAGCAAACATAAAATAAATATAATAACTTATTGATGGCTCGGAGACAACGGTCAATATCAAATCACATAAAGAGGCAATTCATGATGGCTTCAGCAAGCTCCCAAAATAAAGAATCTAGAAATTTTCCAGAGGAGGAAAATGTCTTGGAATTACCGGAGGCAGAATACAAAAGATTAACATACAGAACTCTTCAGGAAATTAAGCAAAACAAAGAACACGCAATAGAGGAAATAAAAAGATTAGAGAAGAGCATAATGACAAATTTTACAGGTTGCAAGAATCCATAGAGACAGCAATCAAAACTCCAGAAGATTAACAATAAAATTTCAGAATTAGACAACTCAATAGAAAGTCACAGGAGCAGAATTGAGGCAATGGAAGTCAGAATATGTGAGACTGAATTACAGCACTTGACACCTACTTATTTGAGGAAAAATCAGAGAAAAGGATTTAAAAAAATGAAGAAACCCTAAGAATTATATGGGACTCTATCAAGAGGAATAACCTGCAAGTGACTGGAATACCAGAACAGGGGGGATAACAGAAAATACAGACAGAATTGTTGCAGATTTGTTGGCAGAAAACGTCCGTGGTACCGTGAAAGATGACAACGTATCTATCCAAGATGCTCATCGAACCCCACATAAGGTAGATCCCAAAAGGAAGTCATGAAGATATACTCATACTTGCCAAAACCAAAGATATAGAGAGAATTTTAAGAGCGGATAGGGATAAATAAAAAAGGAGAGTCAATAAGAATAAGCACGGACTACTCAGCAGAAACCATGCAGGCAAGAAGGCAATGGGATGACATATATAAAGCACTGAAGGAAAAAAACCGCCAGCCAAGAATTATATATCCAGCAAAACTGTCTCTCAAATATGATGGCAAAATTAGGGCATTTCCAGATAAACAGAAGCTTAGGGAATTTGCAAAAACCTAATCAAAATTACAAGAAATACTAAAGGGAGTCCTCCGATTAGAAAATCAGTAACATCAGATAACAACCAAAAACTATAACACAGGACAGAACAACCAGAAATCAAGCCAGATAGGGAAGTCACAAAAGTACATCAAAGCTAAAACACTGAAAATTGGGAAACACATGTTGATATGTAAAAGATGACAACATTAAAACAAAAAAGAGGGACTTAAAAATGTAGACATAGATTTTTCATATGGAGAGGAAGTCAAGGCGATATAAAGAAA